AAAATTTATATATCAGTACCGCATTGAAGATTCGGAAGTTTCATAAGATAAAGACAAAACTTGATACTTTATCTAAGAAGAAATATATATTATGCATTACTGTGAAAAAAGACTTAAGAAGAAATATGTATTATATATATTTGAAGGATTTTAGAAGCTGAAAATCGCAAAATATCGAAATAGCGTCGTGATCACAAATTAGACATGCGAAACTTGACCATTGAGTGTAGGAGTACAGAACTATAGAATAACCTTGGCGTTTAAAAAAAGCTTCTTACCGTAGATCGTAGATCGTAGAACGTTCCGACTTACTCTAAAACTTCTGATATGTCGACGAATTTCAAATGAACAGATCGGCGTATAAAAAAAATAGATACTGAAAATTAAACTGAATTTCAAAAAAACATTGAAATACGTATATGTGTATTAAAGAAATATTGAATCTATTATCAAAATGCGAAATTGTGAAATATATAAACATACAGAAAAAATATTAAAATGTTGAATTATATTGAAATATATGCTTGTATTGAAATATATATGTTTTAATATATGTTGTTAATATATATATTGTTTCAATATATTTTGCTCAGTATAAATTATATTGAAAAATATGTTGTTATGAAAACATTGATTGTAATTATTGTAATATATTATTATTGTAATATACATACAGGTGATGTGGGATGACGTGATTGGGGAACCGGAAGGAATACGCAGTCCAGAGTGCGCGTGGCGATTAAGCGGCCACTGCTTCCGGTTATCCAGAAGTTGCTGTTACGTGTTTCTCTCCGTCCTTATAGCACCAGTACTAGCTCTTTGTTTCGGCTTTACCTTTGCCTGTCTCGCGTTTCAGGTAAGTCATCGACCTTTTTCTTCATTTCCTAATCGATCGGTGTTATTCATCACCTCCATACAATATGACCATTAGCGATAGTTTCTCAGTTTGTTGAAAATGTATGTAAATTGCCTTTATCATCAACCTCCGATGGAGAAATTTCTTTGTTTTACATTATTTCTGCGTGAAGACATCTTGAAAATTTCGTTTCTTTTTCAAACATACTCAAATCGTAGCATAGTGTATTGATTTTCTTCATGTTCGTGTTAGTTTAAGCAGTATTCGATTAGATAGATTTTTCTCTTTTTCCAAGGATTCTACTTAAAAGAATTTAAATTAATATTAGAAGTAAAGACATGACAAGTGGAAGAAAATAATTAAAAAGGAAAGGTAAAATGAAAAGTCTCTCTGGTTTTTCATGAGAATCTTGAAGATTAGATAGATCTTTTCCTTTTTTCCTTTTTAAAGTTTTCTCTTTACATCAATCCATTAAAACTTACGATTTCTGTTCGCCATCTTATTAAATTTCAAAATCAGAGTTAAACGACGGAAAATTCAAGAGATCTTAGCTTCCATCGCAATTCCGCTGTAAACATGCCCTAATTCTTACGAATGAGAATATACATTCTGAATATTTGTATTATGACTAATTTATTACTGATCGAATTGAAAGAAAAAAATGATTAACAAGTGAAAACTTCTAGCATATATGGTGTCTGGCGCCATGTCTCCGCGTTTGGAAGATCACTTGCGCAGCGACAAGGAATTTCCTCACTTCTGTCACACAGGCCATCGTGAGACCAGTAATGGATTCACTTGGCTATTTGTTTCACAATATCCGAGTGTATAATCAAAAACTACCGGATGGTCCAGCACAAAAGGATGATATTCTCGTGGTATAAAGTCAGAGAAATTGTTCATTCGCAGAACATCGAAGTGCCTTTCGGATCGAGCAACGATCAACATGGAACATTCCACGAAACATTGTTTTCTTACCTTCTCGCCTGCCTCTTCTTCGTTTTCCAATCTACAATCGTGTCTCACGTTTCCACTTTGTGATCGCAATTTTAATTGTTTAGAGTATAAATTCATTAATAATGGAAGATTCTCGTTAATCTTTAATTATATCGTTGTTATAAAGTTTTGTAAATAAAATGCATCCTATAGAGAATATCAATTATTTAATCCTTTCTGTGTATGTTTTGATGTTTCTGTGAGAAAAACTGTTGTGATAACAAATAACAAACACATTGTTTCGGATAACTTTTTAAAACAAGTATGATGCATTAAAATTTAAAATTCTGAATTTCATGTTCCATGTTCCGACATACTAAAAAATCAGTGGTTTTTTTTAGCGCGCTGTACGCTTAAACAACGATAAGCCATCAAGTAGAACGAACTTAATCAAGTAGTAAGTACACCAGAAACATAATTTTTTAAATCCATTACAGTATTGTCAAATTTTCAATACCGAGATGTGAAGTTAATAATTAATCGAAATCATTCTATTATATATCACAAAGAACTCTATCTATGTTTTATGATATCACGATGGTTTTAATAGTAAATTAAAATTCTAAAGATATTGAGCTGAAATAAATTTTATCGGATATTCGATATAATGTAAGAAAAATTAAAGGAAAGAAGAAAGAACAACCCTCTCATTTACAGATATAATCACTGCAGAAGAAGTAATTAACTTTCTAAAACATTCTTATATGAAAAATGTATAAATTCGAATGAAATATTTTCTATACATTAATAAATTAGTTACCCATACGTCGAAACTACATATTATTTATCTTTCATTAATTTAATGGATATGTACATGAACCGATTTATATATAATTTAATGGATATGTATACAAACCGAGATCGCAGCCAATTACTTGCCATATAATTAATAATTATATTAGTTATATAATTAATTGTTTAGCTATATAGTAATGCAATTAGTAGTATTATTACTATATAGTAATAATATGTCAAATAATATCGATCGCCCACGTGAAGGTGCTGCAAGTGAAAATCCACCGCGATCCACCTGCTCATCTTGTGAACAAAAATTTTCTAATTTAAAACATGAATTTTTGAGTAAATAGTTCTTCCGCTGTACGCTTGTACAATATGATTTTTGAAAAAATCTTAATCGTTGTGCAACCTGGACAATAAAAGAAGCTGCAAGGAAAACCAACGCGGAAAATTAAATTTCTATGAAAATAGAAATATTAAAGTTTAAATTAACTACTTAACTCTGTATGAGACGCAGTTTCAACTATATAACAGTAATTAAAAATTCACTTAGATACTAATATCTTACATATTTAGAATTATCATGCTTATGCTTAAATCTAATAATCAATTTAAAACTAACATAGCACAACACAACACAACACAATACTCAATTTAGAAGTACCTAATTAAGTTTACCTAATTAAGTTTAATTTAGAAGTACCTTATCTTATTTAGAAGTACCTAATTAAGTACCTAATTAAGTTGCATATATTCAAACTAATTATTAAAAACGCAAGAAGCATTCTACCGAACCCTATCCTAATCCGATACATAAAAAACCTGAAAAAAATGTTATTATCCACGAATATAAAAAATATCCGTGGTCATTATGCTCGTCGAAAATTCTACATATACAACCAATCACCCGTGCCGATTCAGATCTTTTATCCTATGACATCATCACGAAGAACGATATCATCTACACTGGACCAAGAAAAGTCATCGTGAAGATCTTCGTCGAGCAGATACCACAAAGAATTCCATGATAGAAATGAACACCGTGAAAAATTTCTTGAAAAGCAAAGACGCAGTGTTATTTGTAAAAATTTAAATTTGAATAATGATAAAAATTTGGACTCTAATGATTTGAAAGGTTTTTATTTTATAGTTATAATTTTATATTAGACTTCATTGTAGTCTGGAATGTACTGTGGAAACTGTAGAAAATCTGTAACAAAACATTAAACATTACAATTTATATTTAAAAGCAAAGCAAAATCTTAAGGTAGAGATAATGAAAGGTTCTTGGCTTTAGAGCGTTTATCGTTGGATTTTCCCCAAAAAATGAAAAAAAAAACTGATACTGTGAAGCTGTAACAAACGTTAAATTATGAATATAAATTAAATAAAACATTATATTTTTAATTATAACATATAATATATAATAAA